CCTCCCCGCCCCTGCCCAGCGCTCCCGCGGGCCGCGGCGCCGAACAAAGGCTGCGGCCGTCTCCGCCCGCCCCGCCCCAGCATCCTTTTGTCCCCGGGGCCCCGACCCCCTGGAAGCTCAGTTTCTTCGCGCGCCTCGCCTCACCCGCTAGCAACCGGTCCCCCACGCACTCCAGCCCCGTAACCGGGAGGAGTATGAGCTCGGAGGTCGCCCGCGGCCACACGTAGTCTCCGAGAGCGTCCATGTCCAGCCGGCGGCCCCCGCTACCTCGGCTTCCAAGACACCTGCACCCTCGCGAGGCACTCCCGCGAGAACGACAGCTCCGCGGCCACGGCCCTTAACTACAGAGAGCCGAGGCCGGCTCTGCGGCGGACGCCCAATGAACACGCTCGCCTCGAGGAGCCCGGCTCGTGATTGGCGGGACCCGCAGGGGCGGAGCCCCGCCGGCTCGGCCCGCCGCGCCCCGCCCCCACCCTCGAGCTAGTCTGCCCGGCAACTGGAAGCCACATGGGTTTATTGGACCAAGCAGCATGGGGTCCGTACGTAATAAATAACATGAACACAGGAGCTGTGTCGAAATCGCGGCTGGAGGCAGGCGTGGGGCAAGACATCGGCCAGAACTTCGGAGCTGGACAAGGGGACAACCGGGCCCCGGGTCTGGGGGGTGGGCAGCCCAGCTGTGGGCTGCAGCTGACCCTCCCTTCAGAGCTCCACGCGTGCATTGCGGTAGGCTCGGTCCAGGGCCCATTCGGGCTGTGAGTCAGCGCCGCCTTCGCGGGACAGGCGTGCCATCTCCTGCTGGAACAGGGCTTGTCGTGCCCGGCTGGGGTCCACGTTGATCCAGTTGTTGGCAATCCACTTGGTGCCACGTGTGACCAGGCACCCCCCGTGCAACGAGTAATCATCCACGTCACCCACCCAGCCTAGAAAAGAGCGTGGCATGAGCACGGACAGCTTGCGCGGCCGCCGGCTGGGCTGGCCTCGGCTTGGCCGCAGACAGCCTTGAGGACACGGCAGGGGTGGGCCCAAGACGGCACGGGCTGGGCAGCAAACACCCAATGCCTAAGCGCCCTTGGGGCTCAGCATCCCACCCAGCTAAGGTGCAGTCACCCCTCGGCCCTCTGAAACCCTTGTACTGCCTGCCCCCATCTGCAGCCTGGGCTGGTGCAGGACATGGGCCCCAGCTCCACAGCAGTAGGGCCGAGCGAAGGCCGGGCCTGGAGACAACCCAGCGGCAGCACTGGTGCTCAGGTGGCCTACAGCGGTCACCTCAGGATGGGCTCTGAGAGGCCCCGCGTAGAAGAGTGCTGGGAGGGCAGCCAGAAGCAGCCTTCCAGGGTGGTGGGGGTGCTGGGTGAAAGGAAGCTGCCCTCGGGGAGCCCCCTGGCCTGGCCACAGACTCTCACCTTGCCCGTCAGGCAAGTAGTTGTACCAGAAGACGGCTGTGCCCTGCCGAGGCTTAACAAGTAGGTTCCCTTTGTCACAGTGCCTCCGTGTGTCGCGGAGGTCAACGTCATCCTGGATCAGACTCTGTGGACAGCCAAGCGGATGCAGTTTTCAGGCCAATCTTCCCCCAACTCCCCCCGTGTAGCCAGGCAGCCAAATGTGCCAGTGGACCACCTGGGTCCGAATTCCAGGTGTGGAAGGGTGTGCACACTTGCCCAAGGCCCTGCCAACCCACACCTCTTACCATCTCATCGTAGGTTCTGTTATCTGCTACAGGGAAGACAGTCTCGCCCCCACCGGTGACATTGTTCAAGTAAAACAGCACTGTCATGTAGCTGTAAAACAGGGGGGCTGCTGAGCAGGGTCCCAGTGTGGCACATTCCCGGGCTTACATGTGGGCAGAATAAGCTGTCCAGGTTCCCAGGGGACAGAGGGCCCAGTGGGGGTGGATGACAACAGGGTAGGCCAGGGCCCACAGATCCAGTCTTTGCGTGCGCCCATGTCTTTGGCCAAGGTCACGCTTAGCTAAATTACACGGCCCTTACCAAGACCGTGGCTGGGAAGGGCAAGCTAGCGGAAGCAGGAAGATCATGCAGAAGGTCTGGAGGGCTGTAAGAGCCACGCGAAGAGACCTAACCTTGTGCCTTGGCAGGCGAAGTGGGCACAACTTTAGAGTGTGAGGCTGAGACCTCAACGGTAGAGTCTAGATCAACACCTGGAGAAGGGACAGAAGGGGCCAGGCGCCCAGGCTTGTCCCTCCTGCAGAGCTATGGCTCCGAGCTTAAGTGCCCGGGGGGTCTTAGTCTGTGTTAATTCAAATGGGAACAGTGGCCAGCAGCCACCCCTCTCCTGCCGCGCAGTAAACAGCTCAGGGGAGGGAGAGGCCGTCACTCATCAGGGTGGTCTAGGGTGCTCTGGGCCCCACGCCAGTGTCAAGGGGCACACGCACAGGGCCAGGCGGTGCCTGTCATGGGGGTACCTGTTTGGGGACTCAAAGCCAGCTCCCAGGTGGGAAGTACTTGCCGACAGGAGGTCTCGAAGGGTACAGACTCGTTGGCTACCAGCTTGGTGTGGGAGCAGATGGTCTCCGGGTACACGGGCCCGCTGTCCACATGGGCATGGTAGTGGCCTCCCTCCCCGTATCGCACCACCTGCAGCGGCTCGCTGAACTCCACGATCTCAGGGGACAGGCGGGTGAGGCGCAGCACCCTGGCGGACAGCAGGCGTTCGGGTGGGCAGCCCCTCCGAGGCAGTTTATAAAGGAGCTGGCACGGTGGACCCTGGGCCCGCCACGAGCTCTTCCCCTGACCACCCCCTTGGAAGCCCTTGATTCATCTTGGACTGGCCCTGTGAGAACAGGCAGGGGTCACACATGAGCAACCTTCTTCCCGGGATGCCAGCGAGCAAGACACCTGCTGTGTGGCAGAGGAGCTTTCTACTAAAGTGAGAGGGTGGCCACTGAGATTCGCCTCTCGGTAACTGGGCTGCGTATCTAAAAGGCCTTGCTTGCCGGGGGAGGGGTCCTGCGGGAGGAGATAGGGGGTTGTTTCTCTATTTAGCAGGAAACGAAAGTTTGATTTATTTCCAATCCCAGTTGCGTGCTGTTTGCCCTCAACTAGGTCTAAATTGCCTGTGTTAATCTCCTTTCCCTCCCCATCTCGTTCTAAAAATGGAAATTAATCCCCCAGCAGCTAATGAATTCTGTTCTTCTGGCCCCAGCTGAAGACGTCTGTGGAGGCCCTGCCTGAGCGAGGCAGCCCCAGCCGCTCACCTCTGGCGGATGGCACGCATGACATGGTGGGCGCCCTCCCCCTGGTAGAGCCACGTGTGGTGGCTGTTCCGCACCAGCTCGCTGGACTCCGCCTTGTGGCTCCTCATGTACGTATGGAAGTCGCGAAGGTCCATGCTGGAGAACTCCTGCAGACTCAGCACTCCTGCGCAGGGCACTGCCATCAGTGACTGCCCGGCCAACGCGGGGAGACCAGTGGCAGGCGGCACCTCCCTACCTACCCCAAAGGCGGCAGCAGCCCCTGGCCTCAGTCCCTGGGGGACCATGTGCACTTGTCCCCACCTGGACTCTTGGGTCAGATGCACCTGGTTTCTGTCACATCGGGCCCTAAGGGAAGACCCAGAGAAGTTCATTTTCTCAGTTTAAGCCTTCATCTGGCCCCCAAAAGGAAAGTCCAACCCCTATTACAGTGCCAGAGCACAGCCTCCTAAGGAAGCACGAGCACACCGCCGAGCTGGGCCACAGGGAGCCGGGCCTCTGCGGGCACTGGAGTGCGGTGGACACATGCCAACCTGCAGGGGCTTAGGAGCACACACAGCTGGTGCTGGGTCTCCTCCAGGGCCTTCCACACCACAGGGTGCAAGCAAGGCCCGTCCCAGAGTCTCCCTCGTGAGCTCACGGCCTGTCCTGGGCGGAACCCACCAGGCCAGTTCTCCCTCCTGGGTCACCAGCCCACCTTAGCAGGGAAAGCCAGGCACCTGCCCCAGCGAGAACTACCTTCCTCCTGCCCAAAGCAGGGCTCCACCCTCTGGGGGCTGTGGAAAGCAGTGGTCTTTCTCCCTGTTATTTTGTTCTGGCTGATCTGACAGAGACCTCTCCCACCCTTTGGCCCCGTGCTGTGAGTCAGAGCCAGCTCAGTGCTGAGGGCAGTAGGGCAGCTCTCAAGCCACGGGCCTCAGCTTCCAGGTCCTAAGTGACTTCTGTCTCTCTTCCTCAGCTGGTCCAGAATTTGGGCACAAAGGTGAGGACTACACCTTTGAAATATCTTTTTTTTTTTTTTCCTCATTCTTCATCTTTTTTTTTTGCGGGGAGGGACATAGGGTCTTGCTTATATATTTCAGGTTGGTCTACAACTTGCATCAATCCTCCCACCTCAGCCTCCCAAGTAGTAGGTTCACAGGTATGCACTACCATGCCCAGCTCCAGAAACTTCTTAAGGGTAATTACCAAAGGGGAAACCCTTGGATGACACCCGCCCTGGCCCCACATCCCTGCCCAACAGTTAGCAACACGAATACTTTGACACTTCAGCAAAGCTGGGAATGGTGGTGCACACCTGTAATCCCAGCACTTGGGAGGCTGAGGCAGGAGGACTGCTGCAAGTGCAAGGCCAGCCTGGGCTACAAAGTGAGTTTGAGGCCAGCCTGAACTGCATAGTGAGACTCTATCTCAAAAAGACAAAAAATGGATACTTCAGCAAGGAGGGAGGCCTTGCTTCGGCAGGGGTACCATGATGGGGCAAAGCCAGTGCCCTCTTAGAAAGGTGCCTGGAGCAGAAGAGCAGCCATGCCCAAACTGGCTGGCCTCACTGTCCCCTTGCTCTGGCTCTATGCCCTCTGCCCTCCACCTACCAGTAGCCTGTGTCCCAGACTCTAGAGTCCCTCAAGGAGTCAGAAGACTGTCACGAAGGACAGTCAGAGGTTTGGCTGCCTGCCTGCCTCCCAGGGATGAAGGGAAAAGCTGGCTCCTCCCTCACCTCGAGCCACTGTGGGGGCTGGGACAGAGGCCGCCAGCTGTGGGGAAGGGCCCCAGCTTTTAAGAGCTGGGAGTAGAGGTGGCTCAAGGGACAACACCAGGGAGGGGCGTGAGCTCACCGTCACCATTGGGGTCTGCCTTGATCGCAGAGTACATCTCCTGAATGTTCTCCGGAGTCATCCACCGTCCGCTTCCCAGGCGAGTCTGGGCCAGGACCTAAAGCGCAAGAGGCTCCCTCACTGGGACGGCCGGTGCTACAGAGCCACCAGAGCATACGCGGCCCGTTTCTAAGCCCGGTTCTATTGTACAGCGAAGGGTTCCAGTGATAGGACGCGGATGAAGACACAAAACAGAGCCTGAGGTTCCCAAGCTGAAAGGAGAGGCGACCGGGAGGTCGGAGGCCTCTGAGGATCTGTCCAGGCAAGGGGTGAGACGCCTGGGAGCCCCTGGCTTCCTCAGCCCAGTACTTCAGATGTACTGCTGACCAGAAGCGGAGAGAAAGACAGGCCTGAGTCACACTCACATCCCCAGAGGAGAAAAAGGGCACTGGGAAGACCTGGCCACAACAGGGCCACTGGGGCGCTCAGGAGGACCACGGTAAGTGCGGTGCTGTGTGAACAATGAAACCCCCAGTCCTGCCAGACCTCTCAGAAGTCCAGGGGTGAGGGGCATGCAGAGAGATGTGCCTGCCACCTCAGAGCTCCCACCCACCATTCACCAGGGGTTCTGGGGAACCCCCGGCTATAGTAGTAAGAAATCCAGTCCACAGAAGGAGGAGCACCCACAAACTGGTGCAGCTAGGTGTGGTGGCACATGCCTGTAATCCCAGCACACAGGAGGCTGAGGCAGGAGGACCATCAGGAGCTCGAGGCCAGCCCGGGCTACATAGTGCGTTCAAGGCCACCCTGAACTACACAGAGAGACCCTGTCTCAAAGGAAAAAACCAAAAAACAAAACCTATGGTGCTAATTTCTATCACCCTGATGGATCCTCCTCCCACCCTCTGGGGCGCTCAGGTCTACCGAAGAAAGGGGCCCTCTGGGCTTGGCACTGCCCACACAGGCCCGTAGGGGTCAGAGCTGAGCTTGCCAAGGGTCCCGCCTGTGCAGCGCAGGCCCCAGGTCCCCACCTCGCGGAGTTGCAGAAGACCATCGTGGTTCTGGTCCAACAGCTGGAAGAGGTCCAGCTGGCTGACCTGCACAGTGCTCATGGCTTCTTCGTACTCCTCGGTGGGCAGGATCTGGCTGCGCTGTAACCCCTTCATCTGTGCCAGCTGGATGATGAGTCGACACTCCTCATCGCTCAGGAAGCCGGGGATTTCTGCCAGGAGACGGGCAGGTGAGGCCACGCACTGAACCGGGGCACTGCGCACCCAGTGCGTCCTCCCTATAGGGTTTCTGGGGTGCTCCCTGCTTGCTCCCAGGCCTGGAGGGCTTTACACACCCTTTGCATTTGCTCTGTACCCCTTGTCAAGGCGAGGACCCCTGCCACGGTTGGTTGAGGTTTGGGATGTGGGGTCTCTCATTCCTGATATAGCACACGCTCTCCAAGCGGGTCCTGGAAGGTAAGCTGGAGATGGGCTCACCCTCCCTGGGGAGCGAGACTAGAGGCCTGAGGGTGGACCTGGGGTGAGGGTTTGTCTCCTCTTTTTTCTGAATTCATATTTTAAGAGTAGGGAGATTATGGCTGGCTCTTCCTCTGATTTTTGCTTTTTAGTGCTATTCAAATAAAAATAAACAAGACCAGGTGTGGTGGCATACGCCTGTAATCCCAGCACTCAGGAGGCTGAGCCAGGAGGACTGCTTCGAGTTTGAGGCCAGCCTGGGGTACACAGTGAGACCCTGTCTCAAAAAACAAAACAAAACAAAGCAACAAATAAAAATGAATAAGCCAGCCATAGTAGTAAACACGTATAATCCCAGGCCTCTCGGAGGCCAAGACAGCAGGATAGCAAATTCAAACTTAGACTGAGCAACTTATTAAGACTGTGTCTCAAAATAAAAAATAAAAATGTTTAGAGATGTAGCTCAGTGCAATGCCTAGGGTTCAATCCTTAGTACCACAGGGGGTAGAAAAAAAAAAAGAAAAAAGCCTAGATATCTAATGCTTTAAGCTAGTCCGAGGGTCTTGCCCTCCGCTCTCCTGCCCAAGTGACTAGGGCCGAGTTTCCTGGTGCTGGGAAGTCGATCGGGGTCATCCAGTACTGACTCTGGGCCTGCAAACTCCTGAGTAAAGAGCAGTACAGTCGGGAGCTCGGGCCCAGCGGCTGGACGCCCATACCAGCCACAGCCGGCACAGGGTCGCCAGAGCTGGCATGAAGCCTCACACTGGGCAGCCCACACCTCTGTAGCCCCAGCACTTCGAGGGCGGAAGCCTGGGCTCTTCTTCCTTCCATGTTCCTAGGAGGGCATCCCTGGGGGACAAGCGGCTCTCAAAAAAAAACTGTGATGAGAGGAAGTGCCAGTCTGCAGACTGCTCAGCCACTTCTCGCAGTCATACTCCAGCCACTGGCACACGCCTGTAATCCAACCACTAGGGGGGCTGAGGCAGGAGGACCACAAATTCTAGGCCAGTCTGAACGACTCTGTGAGGCCTGGTTTCAAATAAAAAATAAAAGCCGTATGTGATGGCCCACACCTGCAATCCCGGCACTCGGGACAATGGGTTATACCAAACTGCTAATCAGCAGGCATCTCTTGATTGCTTAACACATAAAATTAAAAAGGGCTGGGGATGTAGCTCAGTGGCATAAGCGCCTGCCTGGCAAGAGCAAAGTCCTGAGTTCGATTCCTGGTACCAAAAAAAAAGAAAAAATTAAAAAGGAAGGTAGGTAGAAGGCAGAGAGACAGGGATGGAGGGCAGGAGTTTCTTTATTAGACGCCAGTAACCCACCAGCCCCATGAAATGCTGCTTTATCCCCTCCCATGATGTGCTAACCAAAAGCAAACAGCACAGTCAGCATGCTGAGGCCAAACCAGGAGCTTTGCAAACACCTGCAGAAACCAGTGCTGCCCTCTAAAGCCCTCACGCTGGACTTACCAAGGATGGGCAGAGAAAGCAGGTGATGCAGACAATACTGTGGCTCCTGGTGGTGCTGACAATGGCATGGAGCGATGGCACTGTACAGACCCCCTGGTGCACACCCACTCCCCAAGCTGTGGCACTGTGGTATGGCGCTGGCGACACAGAGATGCCACTGCCCAGCACGCTGGACCCCAGCACAGCAGCTGAGGCCGCCCAGCAGTCGGTCTGCTCATCGCCCCTGCTTCCGGGACTGCCACCCCAACACCCACCTCCTCCTCTGCTCTCTCTGGCCCTGCAGGACAGGGGCTCCCAGGTACAGGGAGTGGGTATCTTCAGCCAGGGCCTGCTAGGGAAGCTCATCTCTTTACTAATCCTCCGAGCACTTAACAGTGCTGGATGCTGACAGGGCAAACAGGGCACAAAGGGAAATGAAGGACTGTTTCAGCAGAATGCTTCTGGCGAGAGAAGGGGGTGCCCATGGGACAGAGGTGACACCATCAAGGTGTCATGAATGGTGAGCATGTGGGCTTGGAGCCTTGGTCTGTACCCACAAACATCCAAAGCTCTTGAATATGAAAGCAGGGCAGGCTGCAGGCTGCTTCAGGCTGGGGGCCGAGTCTCTTTCCAGCAAGGCTTGGAACCTCTATCTGCTCCAGCGATGCTGGCAAGAAGGGGAGCTGAGGCCCCCTGGGGCTGTTTCTCCCAGATCCCAGAGGTCACAACGCTGTTCCTTTTCCGGTTAACCTACCCTGTGAACGTTCCCCCAGCTCCCACTCTTTGCAAGAGCCTCTGGGTAACAACTGTCAATGACAGCAAGAATGGCTCACTCAGAAGCGGAGGACCAGGCCTTGTACGCCGTGTCAGCCCCAGCATTAGCCAGGGACTGCTGCGTCCTGAAAGGCTTTCTGGACAGGAGGGAGGAGCCCGATTTCCCCTTGGTGAGGGGTGGTTACAGGTATGTGCAGGGATCTTCCACACCTCTCCATACACTGGATGGTCAGGTCTCCATACACTGGGTGGGGAAGGTGTGCTGGAAAAGCTGGAGAAAAGCCTGGGTTAAGGGAGGAGAGTTGGGGACACAAGACAAGACGGAGAAGAGAGGGCGGAAGGCTATGATGTGCTTGAAACAGGGAAAGCCAGGCTGTAAGGCTGTTGCTAGGTGACCAGAGTGCCGTTGCCCAGCAACCGGGGAGCGGTCTGTGCCAGCGCAGCACCAGGAGCATCAGAGGCTCCAGCTGCATCGGTTCCCCTCACCCTGCAGGTCACGCACAGCCTGACAGGGCTTGCTGTGGCTACCCGCGGCCAGCCACCCTGCACTGTGGGCCATGGCATCTGTGCTGCACGACGGGGGCAATGGAAGGGGGAATCCCAAATGCGATGCCCGCTGCCAGCTAGAAAATAAATTCCTTTACAAACATGGGATGTTACAAAAAAAGAAAAGAAAAGCAAAAAACTAAACATGAGATATTACAAAACTAATGAAACAAGCAAGCCAGAAATCCTGCTACAGAGGGTGGCATCCCCAGGAAACCGATTCCAAGGGTACAGCAGGAGTCAGGGGAGTTTGGTTAGCCGTGGAGGGGCCAGTGGGGCATTCCTAGAGGCCAGCTAGTCAGCAGCCACTTGGACCCCAGCCGGCGGGGAAGGTCACACTCCCCTGAGGCAGCGGTACAATCTCAGCCCCGGGGCGGTGCCCTGGCCCTGAGGCAAGAGGTGTTGAAGACAGGATCACCGCCTGACAGTTGGCCCTCACCCTGCAACACCTAGGTCCAGCCCGACGTCACACGCACGCTCACCTCCTGCGAGGCAGGCAGGCAGGGACCTCCTGCGTGTTAAGTGGGACGATGTAGGGTGCCCACCTATCGGTAACCCCAGTCTCTGCCGAAGGCCGTGGCCCCTGAAATCTGCAGCTTGCTGTGCACAGCACCAATGCCAAGAGGGGAAACCATCTAGGAGAGCCTGGGACTTGCAGCTACCGCCTCCGCAGTGGCCATGCAAACCACCTGTGCCCTCCTGGACATACACAGAACTCGGGAAATTTGCAGACCACAGGGCAGAGAGGCCCTAGGAACAAGCAGGGTGGCCCTGCTTCCTGAGCCTAGTCCTAACTTTGGCCAAGAGGGCATGGAGTTAGGCTCCCTGGAGACTAGGTGTGTTCAACAGGAAAGACCACCTTCCCGTCCTTCCCCGGCCTGAGATGACGGCCCAGCAAATACCCTGTGACTGCCCACATGCTCGGGTACCCGACGCTGAGGCTTGGGGCAGGCACACGCCCTCAAGCTGTGCCCCCTGTGGGCAGCAGGCTGCTTGTCCAGCCCCGGACTCGTTGTGTCTGCCTGACCCTTCGCCGAGTCCACGGCTCTGTGAAGCGGCAGCGCATGCGGCCGCAGGGGTGTGTGTATGGTAGGGCAGAGGGTGTGAGATGCAGGGAACTGACTGCATTCATGAACTTAAAAACTTGAACTAATCCACACACACAAACCATTTCCCTACTTCTGGGCCTCCAGCATCTGACATGGGCACAGTGACCTGGCATAGCTGAAAAAGGACATATTCAGAAATCAAAGCACTCAGGAGTTTAAAATACATTGTTTTCCTTAATCCCAGCACTCGGGAGGCTGAGGCAGGAGGATCGTTGTGAGTTGAAGACCAGCCTGGGCTACAGAGTGAACTCAAGGCCAGCCTGAACTGAATAGTGAGACCCTGTCTCAAAAAAGACAGACAGACAGAAAGAAAATGAAATACACTGTTTTGTGTACAGCAGCCATTAACTCATTTATCGTGTATAGTTAAGAGAAATGGGTTAACATTCTTGCTGGCTAACTGGAGATGTCCCCTCTGCCCTTGAAGAGGGTCCCAAGTCAGGAGGGTGGTGGAAGAGGCCACTCTACAAGCAGACAGGTGTTGACCTGGGCCGAACACACGACCTCTCCGGTCAGCCAACGAGTATCTTTTTTTTTTTTTTGCGGTACTGGGAATCGAACTCATGACCTTGCACTTGCCAGGCAGGCGCTTATGCCACTGAGCTTTATCTCCCGCCCCCTAAGCCAACGATTATCAGCAGAAGACACAATTCTGGCCGCTGGACATCCAGCCAGGACAGATCAAGCCTCCCACCAATGCACCTCACCTGGGGGACAGAGGCATAAAGGACAAAAGCAAGCACTGAAATAGTTTCTGGCAGTGCTGAGTGCTGAGAAGATAAGCAAGCAAAGATCTACCAGAGTGCTGGGGACCCTCTCAAGCCTGGGTACAGAGAGGTCTCTGAGGATGGAGCTGAAGCCACTGACTGCAGGAAGAGAAGCCTGAGGCATCTAGTGAGGGAACCACCATGCATATAAAGGCCCTGCAGAACAGTGAGCCCGGTGCTGAAGACTGGTGGGGAATGGGGACTGGGGTGGTGGGAGATGAGGTCTAAGAGGTCAGAAGGCTTTGAAGCACCAAGTGAGACCCAGAAATCCAATGGGGAGTCACAGGCCTGGAGATGTAGCTCAGTGGGAGAATGCCTGCCCGGCAGGTGTAAAGCTGTGAGTTCTGTTCCCAGCACTGTATAAAAGAAAGAAGGAGGGAAGGATTTGGAGGCTTTTAAAGAAGGGAGAGAAGAGGTATGATTGGCTGTTCAGGGACAAATGAGGGTGAGGCAGAGTGGAGTGGAGGGAGACGTGAGCCTCAAGTAAGAAACCAATGTCCCCAGAGACGTGACAATGACCCAGAAATGGAGCACTTTCCTTCTGATCTGAACAGGACTGAGCTCGCACTGACTCCAAATGTCCTGGATGTGTGGGAAATCCCTACCACGGTCATGCAGGGATTTGTGTGTCCATGAGCTCAGGAGGGGGCCTTTTGTAGCCCAGGTCCCACTTACCAAGTGCCTCCATGAACAAAGGTGGGAAACAGGAAACTTCCCCAAGACAAGAGACTAGGGGCTACATGGGATCTTCCCCGCGGTGGTGGGAATCCCTTCTTCAGACATGGAGGCACCTTGGGGGTAGCACCCAAGTCCCTTTGTCCCAGCCCACATCTTGAGCATCCTGCCTGCAGCCCTGGCTTCTTGGATCTTGAAGCTGGAAGGTCCCAGGTTTGGAGCCGAGAACAGTAAGGCAGAACCTACAGCAGGCCCATCCTCTTCGGGTTCTGCCTGTCTCTTTGAGACAAGCAGGACAGCAAATCAAAGGCTGGACAGACAGGCAGGTACAAGAAGACAGGTGAACACTGGTCCTTCTTGGGGTAGGCATTCTCTGGATTTATCTAACACTACAGCACTGCACAAGTGCCCACATGTGGACATTCCTCTGTGGCTTCTCTCTCTCGAAATGGTGTATCTTATGATCTCTGATCTCCCCACCTCCTTTTACCACGAAGCAAGCCCCAAGTCTTTCAGGGAAAAACCTGGGCCTTGCATGTTTCACCACTGACCAGAAGGTAATCTAAGTGTTCTGGAGGAAATGAGAAGCACCAGCAGGAAGTTCACACTACAGCTGCCCAAATCTCAATCACCCCCTTGTAACTGCCTGCAGAAATTGGGACTCAGTGTGATAGCCTCACCAGAACCAGTTTACCCACTGTCAGATCTCTTCTGCTTCTTGTAATTTACTCTTGAGACATTCAGATCTGGGTTTCCTATTCTCTGCTTTATAGGACAGCTGAATATTCGGAAGACTTTGGCCTTGTGCCTGTCGTAACCCGACGCACATGTGAATGAGACAGATATAGGTCCCCAGGAAGGCAGATAAAATACAACCTTCTCAGTGGGACTGTTCACAGCAGTGCGGCAGTAACAGGCTGACTGCCACTTCTTTTGGCCTGGACAATCCTTCTCTGAGCCAACCAGCTTGATCCTGTACATCCTACAGGTGTTCATGCAGACCAGGTATCACCATCTGATGTCCCATGTATAGTTGGCTGTGTGCGTATTTATTTATTATATTTGAATGTCAGCCTTGGAGTTTTGTTGGGTTATCTTTCTTTTGTGATCAGTGCTATGTTTCTAGCGCTTGGAATAGGGCCTGGCACAGACTTGAATGTATGTATGTATGCATGTATGTATTTATTTATTTATTGTTTGTCTTTTTGAGAAAGGGTCTCGCTATCAAGTTCAGGCTGGACTTGAGCTCACTGTGCGGTCCAGGCTGGTCTCGAACTCGCAACGATCCTCCTGCCTCAGGCTCCCCAGTGCTGGGATTACAGGTGTGAGTCACCACGCTCCGCTACTGTAATGTTATTTAACAGTGATGGTAACAACCTCTCCATCTTTTAGGGCCTTTTTCGCAGCAGCATGGACAGTGTAACCTAATTCCCTATAACCAGCAGGCATGTGACATTCTAAAAGATCTTGCCATAATCCCCAACTAGGCCTCTCCCAGAGGCGATAGCAGGGGCTCAGACACTCTGCCTGCCCCACCGCCAGCTCTGTTCTTTTTCCCCAGCACTAGGGATTAAACCCAGGCCCTCATGCATGCTAGGCAAGCACCCTATCACGAAGATACACCCTCAGCCTCCACCCTCACCCCTAAGCCTTTTTAAAAAACTATAGTTTCTGTCTCCCAGCAGCCTGGGACTACCTGGGTCTGCAAACATGTATCACTGACACCAGGTACCTAGGACCGGGCTGCACAAATTTCACCCGGGTAAGGTCTGTGCCCCTTGCTGACAGCAACAGTCTTTGGGGCCTGCGTCCGAATCCCCGGGTCGCCACTGAACTACTACACGAGCCCTGCCAAGCCACTGCGGCTCTCAGTGCCTCACTGTGCCATGCACGGGCCTGAGGCTGGGATCCACTTCCAGCCCACAGCGGTGCTGCAGAAATCAAACAATCACGTGAAGCCCACTATGTAACAGGAACTCCGGGAACACGTTCCATGATGTGGCTCAAGGCGGGATCACCCTGAAAGGGTCTACCTACAACACCCAATCAAAGAAGAATCCTGCCAGGCAGTGGTGCATGCCTGGCATCCCAGCACTTGGGAAGCTGAGGCAGGAGTACAGTGATTTCGAGGCCAGCCTGGATTACACAGTAAGACCCTGTCTCAAAAACAAACAAACAAAAAGCAAGCAAACAAACAAAACACCCAACCCCCCATAAAAACAAACAAAAGACTCCTAAGAAGAATCTCAAGAGTTTTGGCAGCAAAAGCTGGACCTGCCAGGTGCCCTACAGGGGTGGTGGAGGGGCTCCAGTTTACCCACATTTGGACAGCCTGGTTCTCATAGACCACAGGGTCCACTTTGGGAGTGTGATTTCCCATGGGGGGCAGTGGAACATGCCCATAACCCCAGCGCTTGGGAGGCTGAGTCAGGATGATCACTTAAGAGTTTCAGGTCAGCCTGGGTAGTAGTGAGACCCTGTCTCAAAATAAAAATAGAAACAAAACACAGTTTTAAAACAGGAGTGTGATTTCTCCTAGCAGCCTGATAGCAGCTGGGACCCGGTTGTGTCTCCTAACCTCCCCCTATTCTAGGAGACAGAATTTAGTGCTGGCACGAAACGTCCAAAGATAATTTCGATGTACACTCAGGACTGCCCTGTGAGGGCCGACACGGACCAGTCCGCTGCAGCGAGGGAGGCCGTGAGAGGGGCGTGTGTGAAGGTTGCCCTGTCCCCCTGTTTTGGTGGGGGCAGGCTACTCTGAAGCAGCCATCTTCAAAACAGAAACGTGCGGTCCAAAGGGGCCTCAGCTGGACTTACCAAAGAGCAGCGGCTTGAGGCTGAGGGTGCGAATGACGTGGTCCTTGCCGGTGACCAGCTGGACCTTGCGCTCATACCCCACCTGAGGGAAAGGTGCACAGCTCAGGCCGGGCGGGCGCGGGCGCGGGGCCGGGCGCGGGCGCGGGGGACCCTCACCTTGATGCCTTCCAGCCGGGCGAGGGGGCCCAGGGCGGGGGCCGGCGGCGCGCCGGGCTCGGGGCTGTCGTCGCCGTTGCTGTAGTGCACGAACAGCAGCAGCGCCAGCACGTTGCCCAGGTACAGGTGCACGAACACCATGAGCACCAGGAAGTAGGCGCGCGAGCAGATGCCGCGGGGCTTGCACAGCGGC